ACAGTGAGATCACGCCCTGGGCTGAGGTGAGACGCTCAATCGACTGAGCCACCCAGGTGCCTCTTATATTTTTTTTGAGAACTCTCTACACCCAATGTAGGCTTGAACCCACCATCCCAAGATCAAGAGTCACTGTTCTATTGACTGAGCCGGCCAGGTGTACCTTATGGCTTTCTATCTTGCTAGTGCTTCTCTTTACATGCTTCTTAATCTTCTTTGCACAATGAAGAGTTACTCAGTTTTTAAGCGGGGAGAGGAGGAAGCTTCTGCTTTCCAGGTCAGCACTAATTAATGAATGATGGTGTAGTTTCTGGGGAACCTAATAGCACGAGAGCAATTATGCTTGTGACGTTCCCTGGTGAGCTCAACAAGGTAAGTACAAAGATGACTGAGATTAATTAAATATAAGTTCTGACTAACTCATGTCAGTATAAGGGTGTTTTTTCCTCAACTTTTGTATCAATGCCCTTGTGAATGCAAAATGCCTACTCTGATCGTGCGTATTACAAAGCAAAGATGTTCTTTGCTCTTTGGAAGGTGGCTAAATAGTGACAAGATGGTTTTTTTTGGTAGTTAAAATTGCTCTCACTTTATACTCGTGGCCGAAAGGTCTTTGATCTTTTTTTTAAAATGCTAAATGCAATTTAAGAAAAAATGGTTTTCTTATCCTAACTTCAAATGTCATGGGTATGAAGGATGTTCTAAAACTACTCCAACTCCTTCAAATTTGCAGCTTTACAGACATGGGCAGATGGGAGCAAGGGAGGGGTGTTTTGGTTAGTATGAGAAACTTTAAGTGATTTATGTCTATCTATATCTATCTGTATCTATACCAATACCTTTATTGATACCTATACCAATATCTATATCATCTGTATATATCTACATCTTTTATTTTTATCTATACCTACGTCTATAGCATCAAATACATTACAGGGCACATCTGATTTGAACGACTGGAGAATAGATCACAGGCTGAGGCTCCTAAGTTAAGCACACCAGCATGAGTCATCATCAGCCTACTGACAAGCTATTATCAGAGTTCCATCGTTCCAGAGGTCTTGTTTTACTCTAACACGTATGGTAATACACTATGCTGAGGCCCGCATACAGGTCCGTGTCAAGGTTTTCGTAGAATCACTGGTCATCAACGTTCAGATGCCCGAAATACCCTGTTGTCACCCCTCCCTACCCCTCAGAGTTATTGAATGGCTCTCAGTTTATACGCTTGAGGGGGCGGCCAACCGCTGATGTCATCAGGAACCCATCTTGAAGCGTTACCACGTAAATATGAAAAGAAATAGAGCCCTGCCAGTGCTAACAGTTTAGACGGGTGCTTCTTGCCTTGGTACAAGTGGTGGATCAAAACTCTGCCACTTTGAAATTAGTTCCAAATTTATTACTGCAGCAAATGTCCACTGGGCACTGGCTATGTGCCGGACCTGGGTGATGCCACCGGAGATACCATGGTGAATGAGTCAGACAAAGCCCCTTTCATCATGGGGACAGCTTCTTTCATTTCTAAGCAACAAGCCAGTGTTTTTAGCGAAGAGAAAAAATATTCCCTCGAACTTCTGGGCTTAGAAGTTTGATCGAGGGCCTTTCAGATTAGTGAGGGATAAAGGAGAGTTTCTTAACCTCCTCCCATGAACACACCGGAAGGTACTCTTCCCTCTTAACAGGATCCCCGCTGTAACGAGTTAGTCAATTATGTATATCCGGGGAGGGAACAGTAGGAGGGATTGTATCAATTTCTCAGGGCTCGTGTAATTTGAAAAAGCTCCTCGGGTAATTTTGATATCCTTTAATACGTTCTCTTTTTGCTAGTCTATAGAGGTTATTGTTCCCACGTGCGCACACGTTCGTGGTTTTTTGCGTGTTCTACGATTGTAGCTGCAGGATTCGGGAGGACTCTGGGGATGGTACGCTGGTGGCAGTGGGGTTGTGTGACTTGGTGCAGTAAAGGGAGACGCAGATATGAAGACAGAACCTGGGAAAATGCGAGCTAGTAACTTGATCTGGGAAGAATTTGATCATTAATGAGAAAGTCCAACAGTCCCACACCACCAGAGACAAACCGAAGTCTAACTGACTTAGGTTAATGAACTCGTAACGGGACAGCGTGCGCCAAGGGACCCAGGGAGGGCCTCACCAAAAAAGGAGGAGGCAAGGTTATTGCAAGGTGCTTGGGAAAGGTGGAGTTGGGTAAGATTTAGATGAAAGAGTGTTACGACGGTTTCAAAGCAGAGCAAAGCTGTGAGTAATATTTTATAAACATTTAATAATATTCTTAGCAACATCAGGTCTGGGCTGAACGGCATACTCGGAGTCCTATTTCCTTGGATTAATGCAGAATGCTGTGTGTCCAAATCCTTTACCTGACGGTCTGCACCTCGGCTGAAAATCAAGGCTGCTTCTTGGTGTCAAAGTGACCCACAGGCTCCCATCATTCAGGCAAGAGCAAGGGTTCCGTTCTCACTGATACTCAACTCAGTTTCCCACAGTCTGTGATTTTAGAGAACGAGTTTTCTTAGCCCTATGTCCTTGGTGTTAATTAACAAAAGCAGTTTTTGCAGGTTCACACGGGTGTGACAAGGTGCAAAAGTACATTTTTTACTGAGGCACCAAGAGACAATAGATGTAAACTTCTAAACTTGCCAGAGCAGGAAGCAAATCTCAAAGGAAATATCTCAGCTCCTCGTTGACTCTTAAAAATCCCTCACTCAAAACAGGATTGTACAAAGGCAGCGGAAGTGGGGTTTGGGTAGGATCTGTGAGGAAGTTTTCTTCCTAGAAAGCAATGCTGAGTCCCACCTAATCTCTGGTCCGAGGTCTTCCTCCTTGATCTCCCTGAGGAGGGGTGTCAGGAGGATCAAAGTGGGTTTGTGTTCTCTGGTTCTTGGAGTCTCTGGCTTTTTCCTAAGATATCTAAAATGGAGAGACTGAAGGTGTTCGCTTGAGGCGTTAGTTCAGAGAGACAGCAGGGAAGGAGAGGGAGTACTCAAGACTCGCGTGCTCTGAGAATCCACCAGGCTCTGGCATCTGGGTCGGTGGGAGTAAAGTATGTGTGAAGGTTTCTCGAGGACGCGAGGAGAGCCGTTTGTGAGAGAGAGCTGTGCTGGAGATGTGTAAATCTTTTTATTTTTTATTTTTTTTATTTTAACATTTATTTATTATTGAGAGACAGAGAGAGACAGACCATGAGCAGGGGAGGGGCAGAGAGAGAGGGAGACACAGAATCCAAAGCAGGCTCCAGGCTCTGAGCTGTCAGCACAGAGCCCCAGACATGGGGCTTGAACTCACAAACTGAGATCATGACCTGAGCCGAAGTCAGACGCTCACCCGAATGAGCCACCCAGGCGCCCCTGGGGATGTGTAAATCTTGCCCAAGAGCAACACCTGGAGAGGTGATCAAGCGGAGAATTTGTGGAAAGTAGCCTTCCGGGAACCAGAAACTAAGGGTCCTCCTGGGCGCGGGAAGCGGCAGCCAGAGAAAACTGCATTGACCAGGACAGGAGAGACAACGTCAGATGTTTCAAGTTCAGGTCTCTAAGATTGTTAGAAAGCACCTGAGAGGGGAAGTGCTCCGTGTAGTCCTTGGCCAGGCCCAGAGCAACGTCTCCCCGTCTCCCCAGCAGGAAGAGCTGAGCACGAATGCTGGATCTTTGGAGTACTCTCCTCTCCTTACCTTGTGAATTTGGAGGCCGTTCCTTCTCCCCTTCCTGGGAGGACCCAGCCTGCCTGCGACCCTGGCTGAGGGAGTGGAGGGAAGGCCTATCTGAATGAAGCTTGAAGTGTTGATCAAAGTGTATTGGCATTCATATGAAAATTTCTCAATGAAAACTATATTTTATGGCTTAAACTGATCAAAGGATTTTTGTTATCTAAAAGCTATCAGAGAAGGTATGGGACTGCCCACGTGTTCATCTGAGTAAGTGTCGAAGGAACATGGGCAGGTGAAGGTCCACCTTCTGCTTGTATCGTTTCATTGGTCCTGACTGTTCTACGTGCTGGTTTCAGCTGAGCCGAGAGCAGTGTTCATGGATATTCACCAACCTGGCAGGTGCTTTTGCTCTTTAGGTAAATCAGTGTCAAGAGGTATACTTGACACAGGGAAATTGGGAATCAGTAGAAGACTTAAATGGGAATGGCAGCTCGAAAGTGGAAGAGACAGGGGTACTTCGTGTCTGGAAACCAACTGAAATAAAGATTTCAAGAAAGCAGGCAGTCACCATTGAAGACTTTGGTCTTGGCCTCTGGGCCTCCGTCTTAGTGTGAAAGGACAGGCAAAGACTTTCACTGAATAGATAATGGAGCCCCACTGACTGACTCCACAAAACGTTGGGTAGCGGGGGGCGGGATGCATGCCTATCTGGCAATCTGTCTAGTGCCTGTTCTCTGGGAAGTCACTGGCTGTCAACAGAGATGGGCCCTGGCAGCCATGTTGGTGGTCCCCACTCTCCCCACACCTCCATGATCACAGGTGGTGGGGTAGAGTGGAGACGGACCAGGCATAGCCACTCGTATTTTCTCTCCATAGAATTTGGGATTGTGTCAAGGTAGTTGATTAGGTTGGGGGTTGGGGAGCACTAAGGTAGCTTTACTTTGACTGCTGAACTTTGGAGCCCTGAAAGCTGTTTTCTAGAGAATGGGAGAGTAGAAAGAGGCTGGTTTGAAGACAGAGAAAACTACAGCCAAGTTCCTCTTGTCTTTCAAGTCAAGACTGACTTATCTTTGCCCTTGGATTCTACGTTACCCCTCTGTCTTAAGCATTAATCTTTGAACTCTATTACTGGGGCACGGAGATTACTTTTCAGTGGCTTTGAAGCATTGTGCCATACATTTCAGTGGTTACATTTTTTATTTACTTTTTAACTTATTTAGTTGCTGCATCTTTTGATTCACCTGCCACTACCAGCTGGATGCACCAAGATATTTTGACATTCTCAGCATTTCCACTGATTAGCCCTCCACAGTACAGGGTGGGGAGGGGGCCTCTCTTTTCTTACAGATATCTGGTAATGGTGTGAGTTCAACCAGTAAAGAGAAAGCCATGGTCAGAAGCACGAGAAAGGCCAGAACTGGTAGAACAGATCTCTAACTCCGAGGGCTTCAGCTCTGTCCTAATTCTGGCCAAATAGGATTAATACTGTTAACTCATTACTATCCTAAAAGGAATGTCATAGTTATAAGGGTGTGTGTGCAATTTTTAATGACTTGTATTGAAGAAACGAAGGAGATAATGTGAAACAACAGTCTGTTTCTTCTCATGCTTTGCTCAGCTCTTATGCTTTCAGAATGCTGCTCCTAATTGGATTTTTGTTTCCACATTCTGGGCTCATCCATGCTAGGCAAACTTGCGATGTGGGGAAAGTTGATTTTTTCTGCAATGCTTTTCTAAGGCTTTGCCTTAGATTTCCTTCTTCTGGACTGTGGCCCAATGTTCCTTTGTTGTGGCTCCCTGGATCTAGAACCTGTAGCCTTTCACTGGGATGACGCCCTACTGATTCAGTGATCCCTCATTTCTTTCAGGATGATCTCCTTGGCCCTTTCTGGATTCTGTTCCCATAGCACCCTTGATTTCCTAACCACTTGTGCAGTAACAATTTGTCTCTAGATCCACCTGGGTTGGTATCATACTCAATATTATACCCCCACAACTAGCCTATCCCTGCAAAATAGTAGGTTCTTACTAGATCTATGCCTGATAGGCTGGCCTGGTGAATGAATGTCCACTTCTTTGGTGACTCTGAAAAGGGAAAAGAAAATCATGATTTTATTCCAACATCCTGTTACCTTATCAGGAATCTACGATAAAATACAAACTTCCTACCACTGCCTACAAGGCCCTGCCTCCCTCTCTGACCTGTCTGGGATCACTCCCTCCCTGTGCCAGTCTAACCACACTGGTCTTCTCTCTCTTCCTACAACATTACTCTTCTTCCTCCTTCAGGACCTTGGCTCTTGCTGTTTCCTCTGCTAGGAATGCCATTGCCCTCGGGTTCTGTAGAGCTGGTTGGTGTTTTCTGATTTCAGTGGCAGCTCAGATCTTAGAGTATTTCTCTCTCCCTTCCCAAATTCAAGAAGCACCTCCATCCCTTGGGTACCTGTTTTCTTCTTTGCCTTTATCCCTTTCTGTAAGTTTATCTGTTGACTTGTTCATTGTCTTTCTTTTACTGATAAATAGCTCCTACTCTGTCTTGTTCAAGGCAATGCTTAGTAGAGTGACCAGTTCACTGAAGGAACTAGAATTTGATGATTAGTATTATTACATGTTTGTTGAGTAAAGGAATAAAATAATATATTTTTTAATTTTTTTTTTTTTTTGAGAGAGAGAGAGAGCGCGCATAAGCGGGGAAGAGGCAGAGAGATAAGGGGACAAAAGGTCCAAAGTGGGCTCTGTGCTGACTGGCTAGCAGCACGCCGGATGTGGGGCTCGAACTCACGAACCGTGAGATCATGACCTGAGCTGAAGTCAGAGGCTCAACAGACTGAACCACCCAGGTGCCCCATAAAAGAATAATTTTTGATATAAATTACTTAATCCCAAAGAAAGAATGTTAGTAATGGAATGCCAGGCATTATTGTGGGAAAACTTTTGGAGAGTTTTCTTGCCAATTTGGTCATAGTAGGCAGTGAGTGCTAAGTTATTTATTTATTTATTTTTCCTTACATATTTACACATAATTAGATCTCAACAGTAAGTTACTCGCTTAGAGTATACTGGGACATCTATTTTCAGACTATTGTTTAGGATTCCATTTACTGCAAAGGTGATATAAAAAATTGTTAGGTAATGAGGTTACTGCCCTCCAAAGAGTTTTATTGTATTCTCAGGAAAAAAGAGAAAAAAGGGGATGTGCCCTATTCCTTGTATTGAGTTTCTTGTCCTTCTTTTCAAGTTCATGTTTACCTTAACATTCCTTTCCTTCCTTAGTTTTGAATTTTGCCAGCTTCCATTTTTTTTCCACTACTGTATAATTCATGGAGTTGTTGGGGAAAGGCTTTATTTCAAACAGCCTATTTCTGAACCTCATGGGGAATGACAAGAAGAACAAATAGAATAGGGAAGCAGCCAGAGAGTTAAGGGAGTATGGTTCCCAGGTGAGTTATGCTTCATTCCCTTCTAAACTGGCTAGATAACACAGGGCCAGCCTACTCTGGTCTGAGAGCTCAGATTACCTTAACTCTAGGTCACTGATCATTCTCTCTCTCCTCCTCCCTCGACTTTCAATTTTCAAAGTTAAAGTCACATCTTGAAGTTCTGTCACATCCCTTTCTTTCTTATAATTCCCTGTAGTGGCTGAGTTTTCCAATTTATATCTTCCGAATTTCTTTCTGTATACTTCCTTTCTTTGTTTTTTGTTTTTTTGTTTTAGTGCTTTATTTATTTTGTCCTTTGGATTCTAAATTCTTCCTGTCAGGGAGTTTTCCTAAAAATCTTTTGAGAGTGTGATGCATTCTACATTATGTGTAAGTAGCATTTATTTACTCAGGAAAGAGCATGGGTGAGCCTCAGTAATACTTAGTGATACTTGTAAAGTTCTTAGAAGGGGCTGATACCAGTTCATATTGTTTTGATGACCATCATATGTTGCCTGTATTACTACCGTGAAAGAATTAGTCTCTTGAATATCCCGAAGGTTTGCTTTACCATTCTTTGCACTTTACTCACTTTTTATTTTAAAATTATTTCTAATTATAGAAGTAATATATGCCTCATACACAGGTAAAACGAAAAAAAAGTGACGCATAATTTTGCCAGGAGCGAAAACATTTTTTTGCCTTTCCTTCTCTTAGGACAATTTCCCTTTGAATCTTATGAAGTACTTAAAAAATACCCAGGGAAAAACTCTCTAAATCCTAGCTAAATTCACGTTAAAGGTTAGCTGTTACTCATCAAGTTCATTCGGGAATCAAAGAATCTCTCGCACCTGGCAAAGAAACCTGGGTATCCGGGTTTCTTCGCTTCGGAGACTGCAGGTCTGTAAGACAACGTATTCGGCAGCCACCTGGGAACCGAGCGGGTAGGGGCGGAGCTGCCGATGATTGAGGGGAGAGGGAGAGGAGCTACAGAGCTCTCACCAATCAGACCTCTGCTTTGTTTTCTCTTACCGACCAATGAGAGAGCTCTGCTGTCGAGGCCGTCTTCAAGTCCGAGACGCCTACCTCCGTCGCAGCCTATAAGCAGGCGCGTCTTACGAAGCGTCTGAGGAGCTCCGGCCCCGCGGGCGTTACGGTCCCGCCCCAGCCCGCCCCTCCAGCCGTGGCCCCGCCCTTCCGAGGGAGGGGGCCAAGTCGGTTACTCGCCGGCTGAAGGTGGGGGCCGGGCTCCCGCTGGGCTCGTGCGTTCTGCGCCCGCCGAGGCGGTGCCGAGCCCGCTGGCTCCTGATTGTCCTTTGCGGCGGCTGCGGTCGCTGCCTCCTCGTCTCCCGACCCGGGGCTGCAGGGGCCAGAGCGATCGCGCCTCCCGCCGGCCGCGGCTGCCCGGAGCAGGTAATGGGGTGCCGGGGCTGCGGCGCCTATCCGAGCACCGGTGCGGCACAGGCTGTGGGGTTTGCTCCCCTTGCTGTTCCCGCGGGCGGCGGCCGGGCCAAGCCGGGCCGCGTCACCCGGAGCCTCCCGCCAGCCTCGAAACGCCTCCTCCCGGGAGCCCGCGGCGGCGGCGACACCTTGCGGGGAGGTGGGGGCGGGGTCGGGCGAGCGACCGGGAAGGGGGGGGGGGCAGCGGCGGGTGGGACCCCTTGGGGACTCGCCTGAGGCGGCTGGGCCCAACGGAGGGCGCGAGGACGCGCAGGTGGAGAAAAGCTGCGGAGTTGAGTCAGAGTCAGGCTCGCGAGGAAAAAGGATCTACTGATAAGTAACGATTAGCTGAGTGGCTTTTTTTTTTTTTAAGCGAGAAAGGTGTCTTGGGTATTGTTAATTACATATTTCCTAAGACAGGCGCATTGCAGTGCCACTTACACATGAACACTGTTTACTTATTATTTATTATTTTTTAAATTAGAAGTCTTTAACGTGAACTTGTTTGGGGACTTTCCTGAAGTGACAAGTAGACCCAGCAGTGTGACTCACCTTTGTCTGGGCTGAAGTGGGGAACGGTGCGATGGGAGTGAGGGGGAGGAATGTTCACGAGGAATGCCTGCGCAGGTTTTGAAAGGCTTGAGGGGGTGGAACCTTGTTTCTGCCACTTTGTCAAATTGGGATTCTTTTTTCTTGTAATTTTTTAAACATTGGCATTCAAATACAAAAGCTTCTCTAAAAACCATCTCTGGGTTTAGCTTTTAGGGATGCACCTGCTTGGTACTCATGCCGTAATATTTTGCATAGAAGCCAGGCTATTCATTATATGAATTGCATTTTGAATTGTTATTACCTTGGACTTGCTTAATAACCTTTTTCCATTCACTATTAACATGTGAAATGGTGAAGGTCACCGGGTGTCGGTGGTAATGGCACAGTGAGAACTCTTGGAGCAGTGTTCTCCCCCTCCAGGTGCACTCCAGTTCTACAAACCAGTACAGGTTTTCCCCGCTCTCTGAAAACAGCGTTCCCGTGAAACCTTTTCTAAGCTGAAGTGCTGCAAAGCAAAGCAGCACTTACTATTTATATGGCAAACATTTTTAGTGTTCCAGATGCACCCCCCCCCCAAAAAAAAAACCTCTTGGGCTTTTCTGATACCTTAGGACACGTTTTGCTAGTGGATGCATTAGAATACGTCAAGATACAGCACAGATGCTCGACACAGGTCAAGGCTGCGGCAGCGTGATGCTGGATGCTGAGTGTAGTTCCCAGGGAAGGAGCTGGGCAGAGCCACTTCTGATGCTTGGGGTGCATCCTGCCTCTATACCAGCCAGTGCAAAACAAACACTGAACGTTATTTTCGCTTTTCCATTTAAAAAAAGGGAGAATCCTCTGTTGGATTTCTTTCGGTTAGCTAAGTAGGTCTTTCATAAAAGCAAAGTAGTGGTACATGAACTTGTGAAAAATGGGAGATAACCTGTATTTCCATTTAGGTCTTTTAATGAGACTCTCATAGACTCTATCAGTTTTGTAATCCTTCTATTCAGAGCCTGGTAATGCATATCATGCCCATTTTACAAGTACCTAAATGAAAGCCCTAGAGATGAAGAGAATTCTGTTCCAGGTCACCTGGCTCCTACTTTATTTTACACCTGTAATGGATTTAATCCAGGATCTACTAAGTTTCCCACCATCAAGCAAGCGTCTGCATACTGATTTGATCATGTGATACAAGAGTCACAGATGGAGGTGGTTATTTCCAAGTAAAGGAATATTGTCTCTTAGGTTTTTTTTTTGTTTTTTCTTTCTCCTCGAGGTTGCTAAGATAGTTTAAATCACACCAGAAAGGCACTTTCTCATACAGGCTAAACAAAACAAACTCCTCGTGGTGCTGTGTGAAAAACCTCTATTTTAAATTTTGGGAGGTTTTCCAAATTAGAGAACCATATCTTATTTACGTTTGCATCTGTAGCTTAGCAGTGGACTCCAATACTGTTTTTTGAATTGAACCAAAACAATTCACATGTAGAAGGCAAAGGAAAATGAAGCATGATGCATTTTGGTCATGACTTATGACTTCTTTTTGCAGAAGGTTTACTATAAATTTAGTGGAAAAATTGAAAATGTAAAAATCATTCCTTAATTAGAATAACACAAGGGAGTTTGGGGGTTAATGGAGTTTGGGGGTTAATGGGCGTTAATAGATAGTTGGGAGGAACCTTTTGAATGATGTCAAGGCCTGGGGAACTTTGGAGAATTGCTCAGTTATGTTAAATTTAGTAGTCATCAGGGGGCGCCTGGGTGGCGCAGTCGGTTGAGCGTCTGACTTCAGCCAGGTCACGATCTCGCGGTCCGGGAGTTCGAGCCCCGCGTCAGGCTCTGGGCTGATGGCTCAGAGCCTGGAGCCTGTTTCCCATTCTGTGTCTCCCTCTCTCTCTGCCCCTCCCCCGTTCATGCTCTGTCTCTCTCCATCCCAAAAATAAATAAACGTTGAAAAAAAATTTTTTAAATTTAGCAGTCATCAGGAACATGGAAATGTCTTCTGAATTAATGGAACTGTTCTAACCATGAAGTTGTCCCTTTACATGGGAGATGTATCTGTTGCATGTAACATGTACATTTTAACATAAGTTTTCCTTATAGGGTATGAGGCATCCCTTACACAAGCCCCATCAGCCTAACTCTGATTGTTTGTTTTTGCAGTAATGTCTTAATTTTTAGTCTCCTGTCAAAATTTTCGACACCCAAGCAAAAATTGCCACTAAGAAACCTTTATCAGCCTGTTAGTTTGTACAGAAATTGAGTCCTCTTTTTTTAATTTTTTTTTTCAACTTTTATTTATTTTTGGGACAGAGAGACAGAGCATGAACGGGGGAGGGGCAGAGAGAGAGGGAGACACAGAATCGGAAACAGGCTCCAGGCTCTGAGCCGTCAGCCCAGAGCCTGACGCGGGGCTCGAACCCACGGACCGCGAGATCGTGACCTGGCTGAAGTCGGACGCTTAACCGACTGTGCCACCCAGGCGCCCGAGTCCTCTTTTCTTATGAACACAACCCTCTTGCCAAGTGGGAACCAAAGAGATTTAGGCGGTTTGTATATATAGTATTTGTTGTATTCTTATCTAGGGTTTCTTCCTTTAAAAAAAAAAAAAAAAGAATAATTAATTACAATGTTACACAACTCCCACTAGGTGGTGCACTGGGTGCTGCTTCATAGAGCGTTCAATCAGATTTTTTTCCTTATAAACATTTCACTGACAAAGATACAAATGTACTGTAACTCTTCCTGTTGTAATGGCAGTTCAGAGATAATTGCAATGAGTGACTTAAGTCAGTTTTATTAAGTGAGATTATTTGGAAGGAAGCAGCAGCTTAAAGTGAAGGACACTGTTAGTAATTTTAGAAATAACTTCTAAAAACCTCTCTGATTCTCCCTGTGATCAGGAACCAGGAACCAAAAAACCACCAGAGTGTGGATTTTTGGTCCTACATTTGATTTGCACTTTTTTTTTTTAAATGGCTGTGTTTTAACTCTTAATGTGAACTAGGAGCTATTTGAGCATAGTTTTATGTTTTGTTCTTTGATTACTGTTTCCTCAAAAGTAGTGGTAGAATTAAAGTGGGCACGTATAACAAGGATATTCAAGTCTTGAGTATGAGCAAATTCTTAAGTTATAAATTTTTTTTCCCCAGGCACATAAAACACTTTTGGTTTTTCTTTCTTGAAGGCTCCCATAATCTGTTCTTTTAGGAGATCATTATTATCAGCTTACTCCACTTATAAAGAAGGGAGTATTCTCCCTCTGATTGTAGAAGCTAACAGGCTTGTTTGTTATTAATTGCTGTTACTGATTGTTAGTTACAGTAGGGGGCTGAGAAAACCTACCTATTGCTTTCATAAGGGGTGCCAGTTTTAGATATAGAAATGGCACTGTTACTGGAGAAGGACTGTTTGGGACGATTGCATTTTAGGAGATGTTTTGCAGAAAGCATTGGACTTTTAAAAGGCAGGATAAGAACTTAAACAGGAAGGTCTGTAGGTGGTTGGTGCGTGTGTGTTTCAGTTCCAATGAACTCTGTGTGGTGAGAAGGGCTTTGGTAGTTTGTTTCTTGGAACCAGCTGGGATTCTCAGGGGATTTGATGGTGCTTTGGGAGGGGGAAGATAAATAGGTATCATTCCTTCTAGGATGCTAGCTCCTCCAGTGCTGCCAGCCCTTGGGTGAGCGTGGGTGTGGAAAGCTGGCAGATTACAAACTGCCTGAGTGTGGGCTTTCCAGAGCTCTCTGCATCTTTGACTTGAATCAAGTCAATATGCGTTTTAAGTCAGGTTTATAGCTATCCCATGGTACAGACTTGGGCTAGTTAACTCTTTAGTCTCTAAATTTATGTTTTTAATGTTTAAAATAAGTGGAATCCTGAACTTCATAAAATTGAGTACACACGTGAATAGCTTACAAGAGTTATTAGGCATATAGTCGGTTCTCACATTATGGTAGGTGCTTGAATCTGTATATACTTCTGATACTGTCTTCCACTCCCTTAAAAAAAGGAGTCAATAGACGGGGTGCCTGGGTGGCTCAGTCGGTTAAGCGGCCGACTTCGGCTCAGGTCCGTGAGTTCAGGTCTCAGGTCTCGCGGTCCGTGAGTTCGAGCCCCGAGTCGGGCTCTGTGCTGACAGCTCAGAGCCTGGAGCCTATTTCAGATTCTATGTCTCCCTCTCTCTGACCCTCCCCCATTCATGCTCTGTCTGTCTCTGTCTCAAAAATAAATAAACGTTAAAAAAAATTAATAAAAAAAAGTCAATAGAAATAGGCACATTTAAGTACACACACACAAATTTAAGTACTCTGCTGTTATTACTTGAACTGAGGACTTGAGTTAGGATAGGAAAGAAGGCTCCTGGTCTAGATACTGCTTTGAAAAGAAAAGAGGCAGGTAGGATGCCTTAAAGGGCGGGCTCAGTAAGGGGGTGG